AGAATCTATTTTTAATAAGAGGGGGTTGTGGCTGGGGATTTAGCTCAGCAGGCGACAGCTTGCCTACCATGTGTGAAGTCAGGAGCTGGAATGTCTGTACCAGAAGGAAAAAAAAAGCAAGAAATAAAAAAGACAATTCCTATTCAACAGTAAAAAAGGAATCACTTCATGTTTTCTTTGGGAGTACCTTAACACAAGTAAATAATTGAGATTAATTTTATAAGAAGGTATAAATTAGGTAGGATCTAAATGTACTCTGAATACAGATTGTGTAGGTTCATTCCACATTTCTTTCTTGACTTGAGGCCTTTAGAAAATCCCAAATGTTCACTTTACATGGAGTGATGAGCTAAACTGAAAATTCATATGAAATCTAAGTAAGCCAGAACGGCCTTACAGAAATCTAAGCAAGACAGGCTTCCTTGAAAAGGACCAATGCCAGAGAACTCACAGTTGGCCACTTGAAGATTTAATGCAAACCTATTGTAATTAAGCCAGTATTGCCACGTAGAAGAAAGATATTTACAGCAATGGAATAGAATCTATAAGTAAACTCTTGTATGTTGGGCAACTGATTCATCTACAAGAACATAAGACAATTCAATTGAGAAAGATCAGCAGACAACTAGAGAGTCACATGCACAATTCCATGACGTTAGATTCCCCCTTCCCATCACAAGCATCAATCCAAAACAAACCAGAAAGCTGAGGGTAATGGCTCATGAATCACCTGTAACCCAGCACTTGGAAGACTACAGCAAGATGATCCCTAAGACTAAGGGAGTTGGGGACCAGCCTGGGCTACAGCATGTAACTGTTTTTAAAAAGCAAAAAAACAAAAGCAACAACAGCCACTTGTATATAATATTCATTGCAGCATATTTATAACTAAACTTCAGAAACAACCCTAATATTAAAGAACAAAATACAATAGAATATGATTCTATTACTAAAAGGAGTGAAGGGAGGGCTGAGAATGTAGGTCTGTTGTGGAGTGCACACGCTTAGTGAGAGCAGGCAGTCATCAGCTTACATCGTATCAGTCCACTGATGTGAACTGTCAGAGCCAGAGAGTAACTCAGTGCTTGCCTATGGCTATGGAACAGAACAGGGATGGGGTAGACTGACTGATTCAATGGATACAGAGTTTCTATGGGGCATGATGAAATTGTCCTCAACTAAAGATTGTGGGGGTTGTATAATTCTATGAATATGTTCAACATTACTGAATCATATACCTTACATGGGGAGATTGTTATGGCGCAGAAATTTCCTTTTACACAATCTTTATTAGCAAAGGATGGTTTTTAAATATTATTTAACACACTATAGAGGTGCGCACGCGCGCGTGCGTGTGTGTGTGTGTGTGTGTGTTTGTGTGTGTGTGTGTTGCACTTATGGTAATGTGTATTTGATACAAGTTCCTTCAGAGGCCAGCAGAGGGCATCAGATGCTGTGGAGCTGGAGGTATAGGCAGCTATGAGTTGTGTGTGTTGGATCACCTACAAGAGTAGTAAACACTTAACTGTTGAGCCACCTTTCCAGTCCCAAATAAAGTTTTTTTGTTTCTTTTTTTTTTTTAGACTAAGGGAATTAGACAGTGAGATCACTTACTGGATAAGTGCTTTCTAATATAACATTTTAAATCTCAATAACTAGGAGGCACTGACTAATTTAATGCCTTTCCTTTATACTGGTTATTTTTGGTTTGTGCCCTAACTGCCTCACAGGGTGAGTGAAATGCTAGGCTTTACCAGACAGAGATAAGGTGGATGTATTATTTTTATCCCAAGTCATTCATTAACAAGTGTATTAGTAGTCTACTGTATTATGACCATCTTAATTCTTGCATGCTTTTTAAAAGTCATGATTATTTCTCTATTGAAATTCTGACCTCGGATGAATGACGTGACACATATAGGTTGTTTGCTTGTTTCTTTGTTTTGAGACAGGGTTTTTCTGTGTAGCCCTGGCTGTCCTGGAACTTACTCTGTAATACCAGGCTGGCCTTGAACTCAAAAATCCACTTACCTCAGCTTCCTGAGTACTGGAATTAAAGGCACTCACTATCACACCAGGCTATAAACTTTATACTATGAAGGAAATGATTTATAGTAAACAGAACAAATGTACATTTTTATTATCAATTATTTTATTTTATTTTTATTTTTGAGACATGGTCTCACTGTGTTGCCCTGCCTGGCCTAGACACAAAGATTCAGATTAAGGGCATGTACCACCACACAGGGCACTACGTTAGTGTTCAACGTCCCCAAATCTGGCTGTCTAGGGCACCTGCACTCATGTGCACACTGACACACACAGATGCACATAACTTAAGAAAAGTTAAAAAATGTAAATCATAGACATAACTTTCTTTTTTTTTACCTTTAAGATTTTAGTTTTACGTGTATGTGTGTTTTGCCTGCATGTGGAAGCACAGAGGGGCATCAGATTTGCTGGGACTAGAGTTATAGATGGTTGTGAACCACCATCTGGGTCCTGGGAATTAACTCCTGTCCTCTGGAAGAGCAGCCAGTGTTCCTAATCGGTGAGGCCCACCTCTCAAGCTCCTCACATTTTTTTAAAAAGCACAATTCTAACAAAACATCTACTTACTGTATTCGTCAGTAGACAACATTATATCTGACTGACTTTAATTTCCTTATTCAACAAAGTCCAGGACTGGAGTTTTAAAACTAATTTATTTTATTTTAAACACTGTAGCAAAAAAAAATAAAAATAAAAAAAAAAGACTACGCCAGGAAAACTGATCTCTGCGACAAGTATGAAATGGTACAGCCCTACCTCAAATGAAAGACAAGTGACAAAGGGAGTGTAAGCCCATTGTAGAGCGTTAGACACCACCCAAGCTGCTGTAAAGACATGTAACTACAGGCTTTCTGACTTACTCAAGAGTCAAAATGTTCTCCAGAGAAGTCTTATTCTCAACAGGATGTGGGAAGCCACCCGAGTTTTCTGGAGAGCTGAGGCAACTGCAAGTGAGGTGAAGGGTACTTAAGAACACTCACTTAGGACAGCTGCTTAATTCACCTCTAGGAAGCAAGGTGGAGTGCATCAGATTCTTAGGAAGGAAGTCAAGAATATTCCATTCTCAGAGTTGGAAAAAACCCAAACAAGAAAGTGCAGAAGGCTGTACCCCAAGGAGAGCAGAGAGAGCAGGAGTGTCCCTGAGGGACGGGTGAGTCAGCAGCTCAACAGAATCCAACGGAACATGCCTATCTGTAGCACACAGACTGCAGTCATGCCAATGGAATCGTGGACATGGAAGAAACAGTCCAGAGAAGAGCAAAGCATGGTGGGAGCAAAGGGGAGGAGGATTCATAAGTGAGCAACAGAGAGACAGGAAGAAATAGTAAAGGCTGGGCACATAGTTTCTCCATGTGACAGATTCATGCGTATGTACAGCTCTGTGCCTTTTTAACTGAGACAGACTACTGACGATATGGACAGGTATCCCGGGAAATAACTGCCACAGTCAGCACTATGCACACAGTCAGCACTGTGCACGCAGTCAGCTCTGTGCATGGTCATCATGTTTACAAATGGCTATATAAATACTCTCCTTTGCCAGTGTCTTTGTGCCCAGCTGCCTACTTTGCAATTGTTTTACCTATTTGTGTGTGTATGTGGTGTAAGAGGGTATCATGTAGCTCAGGCTAGCCTCATGGCCCTGATTTTCTTGCTTCCACTTCCTCAGTACCAGGATCATAGTTTGCACCACCACACCCAGTTTACGCAGTGCTGGGGATTGAACCCAGGGTTTCTTACATGAGAGGCAAGCATTCTTACCAGCTGAGCTATATCCCCATTACTAGTTTAAAGAGGCAAAAAGCACATGTCTTTTCACATGTTAGTGTAATATTTACAAATGAAAAAAACCACAATTTTAGCTTTTAAACATTTAGAATTATAAAGAAGTTATTTGGATTAATCTCTGCCATAATTATCTCATATCACGACAGTATTCCTAAAGGAGTTGTCAGAGTTAGATGAACTGAATAGATGTACTCTGATTTTACTTCTAAAAGGGTTTTTTTTTTTTAAATTATGTGTATGGGGGTGTGTATTCAGAAGAGGGTACCTTTGAAGCTGGAGCCTCAGCCAGTTGTGAGCTGCACAATGTGGGTGCTGGGAACTGAACTCAGGTCCTCTGGAACAGCAGCAAGTGGTCCTAACCACTGAGCATCTCTCCAGCCTTCACTGTAACTTCTATAGTATACCCTGCATATAAGCTAAGCCATCTTGGAGAATTTTCTAGCTAGCTGTACTTTAAAGTAAAAGTCTACTACTTGTCCTTACTTCCCCATTTGTGTTTCTTCAGGTAGTTCATCATGCCCTACTTCTAAGTTATTTGAGTTAGCCATTACTTCTTGAGCTATATCTTAGTAAACGCTTTCATTTTGGGAAGTGAAGTTCAACAAGCCAAGTCTTCATGTGTTCTTTGTTCTTATTTATTGATTAAGGAAGATAAAACAGGGCACTCAAATGTAAGAGAATGAATGAACTAGATACTACAATATCAAAGAGTTAGGACTAGGAAAACTTCCTGAAACTCAAGATAGAAAACATTAGCAAACAAAAACCATGTCATTGAGGAGGACAACTAGAAAGCATGAATTATTTTATGGAATTTCACTTTAAAAACTTTAAGAGTTAGGAAAGAGCACTGCTTTGCAGTCGCTTGCACTCTAATAAACTAGTGTTTTAAATTTGCTTCAACTTGTAGTGAAGTAATGTTGTACAAAGCCTCTGTGTAATCAAACTTCACTAGTGAATGGTTATAAAAAGAACTCTGGATAAGTTGATAAAAATGTAAGTGATGTGTCTAAACTACTTAGTAAACTTTTAAGTTGCCAGCAGTGTTTCTTTAAAGGGTGCTGATTATCTAGATCTAAAACCAATTTCCTCCATGGGTATTGATCATCAAAAGAACCCAAAGCTGCTGAATGACAGACAACATACAATCCTGCACTTACCTTTCTTCTCTCCAGTGTAGGGCACATAGTCTTCCCGATCTTTATGTTCCAATGCTTCCTTCTCTAGGTAAGAAAGGAGCCGTTCCCTATCAAAGGGTCCTGTGGCAGACTTTGATGTCTGGTTCTTCTGCCGGAACCCTGCAGGCAGAAGGGCATTCTGCCAAAGAGAATGAGTCACCCATTATGACCACCAAACCACCAAGAATGACAACACCATATGCTCCTATAGATTTCCCATGCAAGAAGATCAAGAAACTAGCATAACGCAGACATTAAATACCTCCTTGTAGGATTTTAGGATAGTCATGTGAGACATATTACAAAAAGTTTTTTTTTTTTTAATTTAAACCTTGATGTACTGATTTTGGGTGTGTGGGGGGTACCTGTGCCATGACATGTATGAAGAGACCAGAGGACAACTTTTAGGAGTTGATTCTTTCCTTCTACTGGGATCTTACACATAGGTTGTCAGACTTACTGATAACTGCCTTTACTACTATTGAGCCATTTTACCGGCCTACAAGTCTTTGTTTATTTTCGAGACAGGATTTCTCTGTGTAGCCCCTGGCTGTCCTGGAAGCTAGTGGAAGACCAGACTGGCCTTGAATTCAGAGATTCACCTGCCTCTGCCTTCCAAGTGCTGGGATTAAAGGGGTGTGACATTGTTGTAGCCAAGTCTATATATTTTTTAAGTAGATAGAATTCACTTATATTATTATTAAAAATAGGCACCTACATATTTTCTTCAGATAGTATCCTACTAGCAGGAAACAGCTACTAGCTTTTTTTTTCTTTTTCTTTTTGATATAGGCTCTTGACATATCATCGTGGCTGGCTTAGCACTCATAATGTGGACCACGCTGCCCATAAACTCGCCATGATCCTTCCGCTGTATCCTTCCAAGAACTGGAATTATAGAAATGAACCATTTGGCTTAGCTTCACCCTTTAATTTTTAAGTATCCATGGATTATTATTTTTCCAGGTATAGTTTTTAAATTTATGTTGATATTTATATTAGAGTTGATCTTTGTTTTTCTCCAAGGATTATTAAGGAAAAAGTTTTCCTAGCTTGGCTTATATTCTAGCATTCAGGAAGCTGAAGCAGGAGGATAGTAAGTTTAATGTTCAAACAACAGCAACAACAATTTTCTTAATGCTTAATAACCGACATGTAAACATGTATATAAAATAATTCTATCAAAAAAGAATTGCAAACTACTATATGTTATCCCCCCTTTTTTTAAATTAGGGGGCTCATTTCTGGGGAACATTGATTTTTTTTCTCTCATCAGTTATTGACTGTAGATTTCATCTAGGGGTGGGGCCTTGAAAGATTTCCTTCATCCACACTGGGATGTCAACTGGTATCATTATGCACATCTTGTTTGGGTAACTTCAAGGTTCCAGGTCAGATCCAGCACGGGTTTTCCAAGTCCTATGCCTCAAGTGCATGGCATCTTCAGCGACTGGGACTGCGTAACAAGAGAGGAACTCATGCCTGGTATTATACCTGTTGTGTTTTATAGAAAGAAAAAGAAGCCAGGGATATGTATGCTTGGTGGACGCATGGCATGGTGTGGGGGAAGGGGTGCCTTTGTGGGCCGATGCTGATGCATCCCTTCCCCTGAGGTACCAGCCATGCCAGTATAGTATAGAAGAAAGTTTATTTAGAGCATGGGGAGGGGAGCTGACGGGGTAGGTAGTAGAAACAGAGATGGGGGGGGGGGGAGGGAGGGAGGGGGGGGGGGGGGGGGGGAGGGGGGGGGAGAAGAAGAGGAGGAGGAGGAGGAGTAAGAGGAGGAGGAAGAGAAGGAGGAGGAGAAAGAAAAGGAGGAAGAAGAGGAAGAAGAGGAGGAAGAGGAGAAAGAGGAGGAAGAGGAGAAAGAAGAGGAAGAGGAGAAAGAGGAGGAGCATGTGTGGGGGGGAGGGGAATGAGGAGAGAGGGGGAAGGAGGGTAAGGGAGCAAGAGGAGAAGAGACATGTTATTCCTTTGTAATGGCTTCTATTTGATCAGAGCCTTTATCAAAATAAAAACAGGCACAGTCCAACCTCAAGACTATTTACTTGATTTAAATATAGTACAAAACTGTTCACTATGTATGGGTGCAGGTGTACACATGAACATTAGTGTATGGTAGTAAAAAGTACTGTCACTGTTCTGCATGCCCCATGGCCCCCTGAGATACAGAAGAGCTAAGTCCTCTGGTGTCCACACAGCACAGCCTTAACCTCAGTGTAGAGCACAAGCCTGAGTGGAGGTAGAGGAGGAAGCCCTAAGGGAGTGAAGTCTGAGTGAACGTGTGTACTAACATAGGCAGGGCCGTGTCAAGGACCCCACAGCCTTAGACCATGGAGACAGTGGTAAAGCCTTCTCCTTGGGGGTGAGGCTCTGAAGGAAATGGTGAGCCGTTCCCTTCTGGTCCATGTCTAGAGGTTGACATTGTCTACATTTTCTCTCCCTGGATATTCACAGCCTGAAGACTGTTCTACTGAGACAAGGTGCTGTCAAACATTCTGTAAAGGACATGAGAGCCCCTCACAAAAGTCACTGGTTCAAGTTAAAAACCCCAGGCTAGACAGTCTCTTACAGGCTTTCTAGATCCATTTGATTTAAACTGGTCTCACTGACTACTGCCAAATATATTGTTGACAGCTCTGTTATCTTGAATAATCCCTCAGCCTTCGGTATGAGAAGTTTTTCTTGTAATAGTAATTATGGTCAAAGGACCTGACCTGTGTATAGACATATTACTCAGCAACAAGGACAAGTTTACAAAGCACATTTTTAGTATGTTTGAGGCCTGGAATTTAATTCTGAATACCACTCTTTTCCCTAAAAGCTCACAACACTTCAATTCTTAAAGGGCACAGAAAACCAATGTGCTTTCAAGAAAGGTAGTCAAGCTTTGCACATAACCACTACCTTGAGGTTCTTCCTTGCTACCTGCTCTTCCCTGAGTCACATTTCAAAGATTAAGTGGTTCCTCATTAGCCTTGTGAAGCCTATGAGACAAGTAACAACCAGTTGTCAGATTAAGACAAGTATACATCTGCACTGTCCTTGACTTAATAATGGTTCACTCTAAGTGGAAAAGTGTACCATGCAATCATTTTGGTTTTCATTATAGGTATAGAACATAAGTTAACTTCTATGAGGTAATAAATACTTTTTTTTTTTTTTTTGGTTTTTTGAGACAGGGTTTCTGTGTAGCCCTGGCTGTCCTGGAACTCACTCTGTAGACCAGGCTGGCCTCGAACTCTCGAACTCAGAAATCCACCTGCCTCTGCCTCCCAAGTGCTGGGATTAAAGGCGTGCGCCACCACCGCCCGGCTCAAACTAGGCTTTACATTAGATGATTTTGTACAAATGTAGACTTATTTAAATGTTCTGAGCACATTTAAGGTAGGCTAGGTAAAGCTATGATATTAAAAGGCTAGATATATTAAATGCATTCAATGTATAATATTTGTAACTTAGGATGGGTGTAATCAGGGACATAAGAGCAGTGTTAAGAAACATCCATGTTAGATCTGCTCTACCAATGCTAATAACAGACCATTTGGTCAACCTTTCTCAAGTATCATTATAATTAGGTTTAGGCCACTAAGAACATTCTTAGAGGCACAGTATCCTGGTGCCAGCCTGGTACTCTGAAGAGAAACAGATTAGCATATATTAAAGGGTTAATTAGCTATTACTAATTTCAATTACACAAAGGGAAGCTTGTAGTGGAGAAAAAAAGTCTGTGTAGATGTTTAATGACAGTTTAAATGCCTGTGTCATACGATGTGGAGGTAGATGCAGGGACCTGGAGAAGAAGCATAATGCCAGTTCATTTGGACGGAACGTGGGTGAAGGGTATGGGAAAAAGCCACGAGAAAGCAAGCTGGTTAAAAGGCAGCTACGTGGAAGGCTACTGATTTCTCTTCTTTGGTTAGCACCAACCTCGGGGTCAAGATCATCCAGGACAGTCTCGAGCTGTTTCAGCTCTGACTCTGACAGCTTGCCAAGGAGCTCGTCCTCATCTAGGTCCTTGTACTCCCCCAAGTCTTTCCGAAACGGCAGTGCCATGGCGCACAGTGGAGGCAGTCACGTGCTCTTTCTACCGCTTCTTATAGCTGTGGAGAGAAGAAAGAAAACCATTTTACAAATAATTCTTAGGTATTTGCATCTATTACTGGGGAAGTGCTGTCCCTGTGTCCATGTTCTTGATCGTACCATCTGTTGCTCTCACCTACAGACCCTTCACACCTTCACTACTGTCTCTGCAGGAGAATAATCAAGTGGTAGAAAGGAAGTGAAGATGAAAACCACTGAAACAATGATTTGGTAGAATGTACAATTCTTTTTTTTTTTTTTAAGATTTATGTATTTATTTTATGTATATGAGTACACTGTAGCTATCTTCAGACATACCAGAAGAAGGTATCAGATTCTACTGCAGATGGTTGTGACCCACCATGTGGTTGCTGGGAATTGAACTCAGGACCTTTGGAAGAACAGTCAGTGCTCTAAACCACTGAGACACCTCTCCAGCCTGAATGTACAATTCTTGATGACTGAATTTTAGAGGGAAAATGAAATAACTTTTTTTTTTGGCCAAAATAAATTTCTGTGATATCAATTTATCCTAATGGAGAGCATCTGTTTTACTACAAACTATTTAGGAGAACAGCAGGATATAATATCAACATAGGAAAATAGCAGTATGTCTCACAGGAAGAAACAGTAGTCCCTTACCTCTGGGAAATTTTTTTTTTTAAATATTTTTCAAAAAGATTATTTTAGAAGTTGGAGAAGTGGCTCAGCAGTTAAGAATACTTCCTGCAGACGGTTTTTGGTCCATTCTTAGCATCCACATGGAGTGGTTCACACTGTAACTCAAGGGGCTGGAGAGATGGCTCAGAGGTTAAGAGCACTGCTCTTCCAGAGGTCCTGAGTTCAATCCCAGCACCCACATGGTGGCCCATCTATAATGCATACACTTCTCTCTTCTGGTGTGTCTAAAGGCAGCTACACTGTACTCATATACATAAAATGAGTGTAAAAAAAACTCATTCCAGAAGATCTGACACTCTCTTCTGGCTTCCAAGGGTACTAGCACACATGTGATACACAGACATACATGCAGACACTCACAGGCACACATAAACTAAAAACAAGGGAATCGTCTAAAAACATTTTCAAGGGAATATATTAGTTTCCTATTATTAAGGGTTTTTTTTTTTTTTTGACAAGGTCTGTCAATCTAGCCCAGGCTAACCAGGGACTCACTCCATAGACCAAGCTGGGCTAGCCTTGCATTCAAGCTGAACCTTCTGCCTTGACCTTGTGAGTGTATGTAGAAACACAGGTGTATGCTACCACACCCAGCTGAAGTTTTAAAGCTGAAGAAGTTTTAAAGAACAACAAGGCATTCTGAAAACGTATTAAAACACAGTGGGATGTGCCACCCAGGAGTTGGTAGGATGGACAAGAAGGCCTGACTACAGGGAGGCTCTTCGTTTTGTCCGAGTGGCTCTAGCTAACAGAGCTAAGCGCAGCAGCTATCTCTCACATACAGCAGGGCTTCTCTGCAGGAAAGGACACTAAACACACTACAACAAAAACGGGAGCAGGCAGTCAAGTGCTTCCACACAGAAACGTTCGCATGGGCTACGAGATGGGGAGAACTCAGAGATGGTGCTAGGACTTGTGGCTGGCCTAAGCGTTAGTTGGCTGTGAAATGAACAGTTTGTCAGGGCTGATCTGTAGCCTTTGCTACCTTTTCTTCCAAGAGTTCCCATCTTAATATTTTAGCTGGTATATCTTCCTCTGCAAGTTCATTACAGACCTTTCTGTCTCATGTATAGAATGTGAGTTTACCCCAAGAGCCTGACAGCCACTGCTTTTACTAGCAAGCACCTTAGGCCTGATGATAAGCAAATGGGCAATATTCCTTTCTGTAGATGTTACACGGCAGCCATTTTGTGTAGCTGCTGAAGACATGCCTGGGGTACACTTGTTTAATGGCAATCCTCTGGGCTAGCAGTTATTCTGAACTCTTATTTCCCCCTTCATGTAGCACAAGCTGGAGATCCTCCTGCTTTAGCTTCCCTAATGCTAAGATTATAGGTGTGTGCCATTGTGCCTAGATTGCTTTCTGTTGTTATTATTGTTTTGTTTTTAGCAAAATCATTGTTAAGCAACTCCCACTTTGTACTCCCAACTTTAAGACCACAGTTTGTTTGGATTTATTTATTATTTATTTATTTATTTACAGTCTGCCCAGGGCCTGTGAATGCTACACAAGCGCCCTACCATTGAGTGACACAGATGCCTTCCAAAAGTTCTCTAGGTTGAGTGTATTAGAATGCAGCTACACTTGTCAAGATCCAGAGTTCATAGCCTTACACTACTTTCCTGATTGACAAGTCAAGTATAAGCATGGGCCTGGTAAGAACCTATAATCTTCATTTCTGATAAGTTCTCAGAACTTTCAAATCTATTAACCATAAAACATACTGAAGGAGGTGATGGATAATCTTGAGGGAAAAATTATTTAACAACAAGATTCCCTTCATAAAATATTCCCTTCATAAAAAATACCAGTAGTGTGATTCTTTGAGACAGGTATGGGTATCAGACTGATAAGGGTTTATAAATATGTATCAAGGATAACTTTTCTAGCTGGGTCTCTTGGTACAGGCCTATAACCAGCCACTGAAACTTACAAGGTGCATACAAGTTCAAGGCCAACCTGGTGGATTATAGGATACGTTTAAAGCAAGCCAGAAAATTTAGTGAGACTCTCTCAAAAGTTTAAAAATATATCTATAAAAAGAGGGCTATGATGTGCCTCAGTGACAGTGTACTTGCTGTGTGTGAGACCCTAGGTTCAATTCCCAGTATTTTACACACACACACACACACACACACACACACACACACACACACACAAGTCGATATTAAAAATATGACATATAGTAAAGACAAGTAATTCTTAACCAGTAATTCTCTAAAAATGTATATATACAAAGGTTGTCATTATTTATCATCTCTTAATTCTCTAAAGTATTCCAATATGATCCACAAATTCAAAATGACCCTATTAAAATATTCTCGTGCACAATGACAAACGAGATATTATTGGCAAATGTAATGTGACAAGCCACCCTGGTTTTACAGATTTGGAATACAACACATACAGACAGTTTACTCCAGTACACTGCCTTTTCTTGTACTAAAGTAAAATCTGTCTAAGGTTTATGGTAGTACTTTAAGAATAAAATGAATACCCACAAACACACTGAACACTGAGGCACTACCAGCACTTCAGTCACCTCAGCGGCCTCTCTACCTCAAAGGAGCTAGTGTACTGAGTTTTCAAGGACTCTCTTGCTCCCTAGAGTTTGCATGGACAATGTTCAGCAGTTTGTGTTCTACATCTTTATTACACCTTATATAGATAAGTCCTCCTGGGACGACTTTTGTGTTTCCTTTACCGTTGCTTTGAGTCGATGCTCAGTCATACTTATTCCAATTTCATGTCCATACTATTCCATCCTAGGAACATTTGAGCTCCTAGCAATCTTTCCCTTCTGCTTCTTTGCTATGATAAGTAATCTACCTATTTCCTGGTATAGAAGTACAATTCCTCTTTGTTTCAAACCTAGGAATGGAATTGCTGGGGGAAGGCAACTCTATGTCTGAAGTGACTGGGCCAACTTACATTTACAATTCATGCACTTCTGTTTGTTTTCATTATATCAGAGTTTTAATTTTTTGGCATTCTGGCATATGTGAAATGGTATTTCACCATGGCTTTAATGTGTACTGTGATAGGTTATGACAAGGTTATGCACTGTTTAACATGTTGATTGACCAATGGTGTTCCTTTTTCTTTGGGTAATCTATTACTCATTTTTACAAACACATTGTCTTGTGTGTGATATGTGCTTGTTACTGTGGATGTATACCACAATGTGTGCAGGTATGCATGCACACGCATGTCAAGGGGAAAGGTTGATGTACTGTATGTTTCCTTGATCTCTCCATGTTTTGATTTTTTTTTTTTGAGACAGTCCCCAAACAAAACAACCACTGAACTCTACTGAAGTTCAATGATTTGGCTACACTGGACGGCCAATGAGCTTCAGGGATCCACCTGTCTCTCCACTCCCAAGCAGTGGGCATAGGAGGCTATTTACAGATACTCACCGGGCATGCCGAGCGTTTTATTTGTGTTCTAGGACTCTGAACTCAGATTTTCACACTGATAGGGTAGGCACTTTACCTTCTCAGCCATTGCCCTACTCCAGTGGTCTTCTTTAAAGAAATCTTTAATCTATTCTAGATATTAATCTTTGTTATCAAATTAAATTTAACAACTCTTTCATTTTTTATATTCTGATCAATTTTCCCTCCTCCATCTTCTCCCAGATCCTCTACACCCATCCAACTCAACATTTTCTTTCTCTCTTTAGAAAATGAATGAGCAATAAAAAAACAAACCAACTAGAATAATGATAATAATAATAGAAAAACACAAGAAACACACATACAAATAAAACCCATAAAAACATAAAATTAGGGAGTATATCATATAAACAAAAGACCAGTAAGATAAAGAAAAAACAAAACAAACCAAAAAAAACCAACAAGAGACAAAAATTTCAAACCAAACCAAACCAAACCAAACCAAACCAAACCAAAAACTACAAAAACATCATTGAGTTAATTTGTGCTGGCTATCTACTTGCTTGGCTTGGGGCCTGCCCTCAACTGTGGTTTGTGTACCCAGTGAGACACCACTGAAGAAAACTTGTTTTTCCTTTGCAAGTGGTTATCAACTGGAGATGGCTTCTTTTGGTTAAGAAGCAGGGGCAGGAGCTCATACTTACTGCCCCCTCTGTCTCCTGTACGTCTGTCTGGAACCTGTGCAGGCCCCATGCATGCGCCACAGTCTCTGAGTTCATATGTGAGTCAGTTTTGTTGTGTCTGGAAGACACTGTTTCCTTGCTGTCACCCACTCCTTCTGGCTCTTACAACCTTTCCACCTCCTCTTCTGCATAGCTCCCTGAGCCCCGGGGGCAGGGAGTTAGTGAAAACATTTAGGACTGAGTGTTCCAGAGTCTCT